GGGGGGTGGGGGGGGGGGGGGGTATTGCCAGCAAGCGATAGGAGTATGTGTGTGAGCAGAGATAAGAGCGAAGCAGAGAAATTTCCCCTGGCTCAGCATATTAGAAGTATGCAGCCATATAACTGCCTGTGCAAGTGTGAATTTAAGGCACAGTAATCTGTCAGGGTCAGATCTCAGATCATTAGTATGGAGATGACAAGCTGCTTGCATGAATGGAGCAGTTTATTGCCATGGTGACAGGCAGATTTTGACCCCATTGCTCTTGTACAGTAAATGCCTAAGAAACAGAAAAAGGGTCATAGGGGAAAATCAGACCTGTGTTTAAGGTGACAGTGGAAAAGAGAATGAAAAGAAAGAGCGACAAAATCCAGAGGGTGCACCAAAACACTCTATATAGAAATGAAGACAGATAGATATTGATCTTACACAAACTAATTCTGAGACATCAGTGTCAAAATGAGAAGCATAGATGACCGGAATACAGCTGAGCTGATGTGTGGGTGCTGTCATGCATAAAAGTACACTACATGTGTGCTCAAGTGTATTCATCTACGTAAGGGCGCTTGTGCTTGCATGTGCGTTCAGCTGCTCATATGGCTGTGCATTTATGTGTATGAGAGATGCATTAAAGTTATGTTGAAATGAGTTGATTAGAATGCAGAATGCTAAGAGACTGATAAAAGTCAAGAAGGGTAATGAGAGAGCATGTTATGGTTTCTTAATTGTAACGTCTTATTGCTGTAATTGGAAAGTTGCTGGCTTCATCCGCACAAAGAAAGAGAACCAAGAGCTATCACCACTGTGCCTCTGAGAAAGGCATTTAGGGGGATTTTCCTTGTAATAAATATACTGAAAGTCACTCTAGATTAAAGTGCCTGTGGTAAAAGACTACTTACTTACTTTTATAGGGGTCTATACCTCGTTCACTTTAACACGGTGAGTCTCTGAGAGACTGTTAAAGTGATGATCAGTGTTCTGTTCTAGTATGCGTTCAGATTGATACCCTGCATGTTCTGTACCACTACTAAAATGATAATGGACAGCATGTTGAGAAAAGCTCTTTGCTGTAAACTGCAGCACCTCATAATGCCTAAGTCAGAAAGGTTGCTCCCCGTGGTGGGCCTGTACTTTAGGGTCAACTGACTTGAAATGTTAATTTCACTAATTGTTTTTAAATTATTAGCATCTTTATAATGTCATGTTTTTGTATTTTCCACTTCTTTTAAAACCAATCTGATTTTTATTTTTTTTTATTTTGAATATATGTGTGTGTGTGTGTTTGTTTGTGTATATTCTTATATTTTCCATGTATTAATTTTAAATAGAAAAATTTTGAATGTTCTGTGAAATGTACATCACTATAGTTGCATATCTTGTAGGGTATAGGATCTTTATGACTCTTCAGATAACTGGCTGATCAAGCGTAGTTATTAGCGTAGTATATAGTGTTACTATATACTCTCTCCATACTCATGTGTTTGACAGGTAATTGATTTAGACACGCTTTTGCAGTTTTTGATCATTTGGTTTCCAGCTTAATAGCTGAATGCAGATGTCCTAACAACATGACAAATTGAACATCACTGGACTTCTGTTAGTCACATAGCTGAATGGGTAAGGAAATAGCTGCTCATCAGTGTGGAAATGATTAGTAAAGAAAGGTAAGTGCTCATCCTGAAGCTTTGATCACATATGCTGTCTGCAGGCTGAGCTTTCATTAAATGGTTAAAATACAGCTTGACACATCACATCATGTCACACTTCTACAACACATGAAACAACAGCTCCCCTAAGTGGCCTTTTTTTACTCATGTCTACAGCTAAAGAAAAAAAAGGCTTTTTGGTCAATTAAAAAAAATATATATATATATATATATAATTTTTTTTGTCTAAAAGGGCTCCGGAATACCAGAAGGGTTGGGCTACACTTTATATTGTAATTTGAAATACATGCCATCTTATTCATTTTTTCCCCTGTAGCCTAACATTATTTAATTTGCTGCATTTGTTTTGGTTTTCCCTGCCTCGCTAGTTAAAGAGAGAAGATCTCTCCTTTGTTAAATAACTAATTTAACAGAAAAGTGATCATTTCACATAACGGAGTTGAAATAC